AGTCGCTATACAGAACTGCTTGATGAACTGTTTGTCTGTAGCCGATGAAATAAGTACGGTTTCTCCGTGGCTGCGGGCTGTTTTTGGCAGTGTATTGTCAGTTCTCTTCATGGTCATTTTTTGACTGAAGCAAAACAATTTAGTTGTTTGCAATGGTCAAACCAAACAGCGTAAATGTTTTATTTGATACACTCATGCTTTGTATGCTGTCAGTGGAACCCATTAGCTTTGGACAGCAGTCCATCTAGGAGACGGCAAACTCGGAATATAAACCCCTAAATTCAAGGTGGGCCAACGTGCTGAGGAACTGGATGGCCACGGGTGAGCTGGTCGTGAACGTTGGACGTCTGGCGGGCGTGCGGGGCGGCACCAGACGTATGAACTCCTACGGGACATCCATTGCCCCTTTCCTAGCAGGCAGGAAATACTAGGGTGACCGGTTATTTCCTGCAGTACCCTTTTTTCACAGATGGATTTTTAAAATATACATAGGAATCGTCGCTGGAGCTACGGGGCACGTGCTCTGCGCTTGACACATTTGTCAGCAGTATGTGAAAAGAGAGTGAGGAGGAAAAGACGAGGGAATGGGGAGAGAAGAAGGCATATGAATAGGAGGGCAGGTGCTAGGAGAACAAGACGAAAAGCAGAGAGACTGGGCTTCAATCATGTAAGAATAAGATACTGGAACTGTCGGAGGGCTAGGCAGAGAGGTTGATTTTTTATTTTGATGTTATCATGCTTCAGGAGCTAAACACAGACAGATATCATTTCCCTGGATACATCAGTTATATAAACCCTGTTGGACAGGAGAGACATGGACAACTGATGGTAAAGGAAAAGTGAAGCATGTGTTGCTTGACTTGAGCCAGTGGAACCACAGTGGACGAGAGGTTCAAGGAATACAGGTGGTGGTTTAAGTTGGAACCTCATAAATATATATGCCACGGTAGACTGTTTTGTCAGAAGTGAACAATGGGGCTGGCTCAAGGAATTGGAGGAGTTACCAGGTGATAGGTTACTCATATGTGGGGATTTCAACGCGAGGAACAGAGAATGGGACAGCAGTGGAGAAAGCCGACAGGGAATTGCTCTTGCAGAGGCCATGCCTGACTCTGATACGGTCTGCATCAATAATATGAGGCCGAGATGGATGGCAATGAGGTCTGGCGATGCAGACACAGCCATTGACTTGATATTTGTCTCTCAGTCGTCGGTTTTAGATGTTAAATAGACTGTCCCGAATGATCATGGGAGTAATCACCTACCATGTTCAGTCCTGATTTCTAAACCCAGTAAGGTTGAGGCTGTGAGAGCACGCAAGACCTTCCGGTATGTGGACCAACAACCTACTTGGACGCCTCAGACAGGGAGCATGCAAAAGAATTGCCAGAACTAATTTTCTACAGCCCCCATGGTGGACTCCAGAAGTAGAACAGGCGGGGAAGGCAAAGAGAGCCGCAGTGAAGCAGCTAAAGAAAGTACGACAGACACCCCCAAGCTCACGAGAGGAAGTGGAAATGGCGGAGAATGTAAAAAAAAAAGATAAGGTGGAGGTTTTTAAGCACTGTGCTGTACATGCCAAAAGAGCAAAGTGGGAAACTTTTGTGAATGATGTGGGAGGCGATAAAACACTGGGGAAATTCTGGAAATTGCATAGGCGGATGCAAAGAAAAGATCGGCCTATGACAGTGGGAACAATTTATAGAGACGATGGTGTGCGTGTGACAACAGACAAGGAGAAAGAGGAGGCTTTTCTCCATAGGTTTATAGCTCAGACAGATCATAACGATGTAGACATCAGGGATGCAGTTAAAAGAGGAGTTGGCTAGCACCTTAAAAAGTATGCACTATGAAGACATCATACGAGTTAAAGATATCAAACACATTTCGAAAAAAGCAAAGGACACTGCACCAGAGCCTGATGGGGTCAGGTATAGCCACATGAAGGCTTTGAGTGATGTGGACCTAGAGGAGATGGCTGACTGTTTTAACCAGAGCATTAAGACAGCAACAGTACCGCAGGACTGGGTGCACAGCTATCTAATCCCATACCAAAACCTTTTAAGGATCATTCAAAGCTCAGTGACTTTAGAATCATCACCTTACAAAACACATTTGGGAAGGTCTTGGAGAAGATAGTTGTTGTAAAGCTACAAGAATTTCTGGAAAGGGGGAAGCTTCTCCCAAAAGGTCTGGGAAGCTACAGGCCAGGAAAGGACACTTGGGCAAATGCGGCCACTTTTGCTTTTGACGTCTATGAAGGGTTACAGAACAGACATAAAACTAGGGCGGTAGCATTGAATCTCGAGGATGCTTATAACAGAGTAAGATACGACATCTTGATTACTGCGATGAAGGAGGTCAGTCCATGGATGGTGAATTGGATTGCAGCTGTCCTAGGTTCACGTCGGGTTGCTCTTCGACTGGGCTCATGGACCTCAGAACCATGCACTTTGGCCCCAGGATTGCCACAGGGATCCGCCATCTCGCCTGTGCTCTTTAACGTGTATACGAACAAGATTGCAAGCCTAGAAGAACCAGGAGTTGGAAGGATACTGACTTTTGCGGATAATATTCTTGCACATAGGCAGGGGGAGAGAGGGAACAAACAGCCCGGGAGCTACAAGCGACAGTAGACAAAGTGACTGAGTGGTGTTCAGAAATGAAGGCTGTCGTCCACCAGGAAAAGGGGTATGTTTTGTGGTGTTCTCTGGACAACAGGATCGTTAAAGCTAATATCCCAAGTCTCACGATAGATGGTAGAAACGTCAACAGAGAGAGCAAACTGAAGCAACTGGGAATTACATTTGACAGGAGCCTGTCCTTTAAGGACCGTGTGGAGAGTGTTGTGACAAGATGCCAAAAAAAGACTTATGGCACTTAAGACTATGGCTGCAATTGACATAGAGCAGAGAATGGTTTTCACACTATATCAGCACCTCATCCTGTCAGTAGTTGATTATGGCCTGTGAATGCTTGCCGTCTCAAAGAGCCAGATGGACAAACTAGAGCGCATACAGAACACAGCAATGCGGGTCATTCTTGGTTGCACCAGAGACACCCAAGTGGTGTGTATTCGATACATCCTTGGTTTGTCGACTGTTGCAGGTAGGCACAAGGTGCTGCAGGCGAAGCCATATCTCAAGGTAGCTGCAGACCACCCTTTGCACGAAGCCCTGGGTGCAGTTAAGGGTCAGCGGCTGATAAGAGGGAAGTCATGGATGGCTCAGGCAGAAAACACAATCAGACAGGTTTGCATCCTTGAGACCATTAGACGAGGAGATTAGTGTCCAAAGTGCCACCTAAACAGTCAGACTTGTGTAGGTTCATAATTACACTGAGCCGGGAATGCAGAGATTGACCAGCAGGTGCCACAGATGTGGAAATTCAGCAATTAATTCAAGATAATGCTCGCTCAGAAGATTTGAACATTTACACAGACAGTTCAGTGTCAAGAGGCAAAAGAAGTGCTTGGATTTCTTAGCAAAAGTTAATGGACGACGTTTGGTGCAGGAGAGCCTAGAATATGATGCCACAACATTCAGCTTAAGAATGGAGGTGGAGGCGGTCACTGCAGCTTTCCGCTGGCTAGAGAACACGACATACACGCAGCGTGATTGTAACTGACTCAGAAAGCATGCTGAGGAAGATCAGGACAGGCATGCTTCGCGCAGAGTGGCATGCCTCGCTGCGGAGGACACGGGGGAGAAGTACTGTCTGGATTTTTTCACCAGGGAATGCCGATGTGTTTGGAAATGAACAGGCGGGCAGACTGGCTGGCTGTGCACAACTTGGGGGAATACTGATGCATGATAAGGCAGACATGGTTAGTGCCTTGTGGGAGAGCTTGTACAGTTCGGAGGAGCAGATTGATCACCACAGTGTGGGGAGATTGATTGCAGTTGGGAGTGACGAGAGGTTCTGGCAGATGCTAGAAGCTAAGAGGAAAGGCAAGATGGACGTTTAATCAGAATCTACTGGCACCATTGGTATCGGAACTCTTCGCTGGCTGCTGAAGATGGGGACGGAGCGCATATGGGAATACCCCGAGTGCTGTGATGTTGGTTCATTAATAAAATCTAATCAATCAAATCGAGACAAGATGCTGTTTACTAGCCAATCTTCCCTGTTGTTCAGAACTTTTAGGATGTCACTATGTCTTTTATTCTTAGTCCGTGACGTTCTGAAAATGTTTGTGTAGTATTTCAGATGAAAAGCCAGCCCCTATTTTTTATCCTTAATGACTGCTAGGTTGACAAAACACATCTATATTGGTAGCGAAAAGATGCATACTCTCAAAATTTCGACTTTGATTTCCTTGCTTTTTATTCTGTAAGTATGTAAAGGACCATCTTCCGCATCTTCAGACGTATTGGGCATGTAGGGCTAGACCTTTATTTTGAAGACCAATCGGCACTTGGTGAGTGATGTGTCAGCATTACATTGCTCGCCTTTACTTCCTAATGGGTACCGCTGCACCACGGCGGCCCCCAGTTCTAACTGTGTGCTGCTTGGAAATATAAGCTGTATTATATAGAAATCCGGGAAGGCTAACCCGGTCAACAAATGCCCGCAGAAGTCGGATGTGTTGGTCGATATGTGCAAATATGACAGCCATGCTGTAAACGGACACAACTCAGTTATATCTTCAGATGAACGCAGAAGAAGAAGATATAGAAATAGTAATACCCCCCCCCCCCCCCCGCCACGGCACGGAACGGCACATGATAGCGTTGGTAATCGTTTGCATGACGAGTCAAAAAGAACAGAACTTTCAGTTACCTCTCATTTGTTTACAGGTCACATAGGGTCACGGCCATGACTCAAGCAGGGGTCACACAGACTTGAAGCAGACGAGAGAGTTTGCTAGAACTACTCTTACATCTATCTACCTGTCCACATTTGTTCTTTGTTTATACTTATCCAACAACCTCAGACATTATTATTTGGATTGAAAATACTTCGTTAATTTATTTTCTCGAGGATCGTCACAAGAAGAAATGGCAGACAGGGACAGAAAGTTTGATTTGATCGTTTTTGGAGCTACGGGATTCACCGGCCAGTACACAGTTGATGAAGTGGCTCGGGTTGCCGATGAGGAACATTTAACTTGGGCTGTGGCTGGGAGAAACATGCAGAAGCTTCAACAAGTTTTGAGTGAGGCTTCTGTTAGAACAGGTAAATATGCAGAGAAGCTAGGAAATGGGTTTCGTGTGCGTGTAAGTACGTGCGTATGTATGCGCGTAAAAATGCTGTAATGTATAAACATGAAGAGAAAATAAAAATGTAAAGTTATTTTATTACTTTCACATTGGTTCATTGCCTCCTAACCCTGGCAGTTATAACCACCGCCCTGATGGGAAGGGGAGCGGCGGCATTATCATGTTAAATTTCTACTAGTATTATTTTGGAAATATAATAGTGACACACAACACCAAATTACTTATTGTGAAAAACATTGTTATTTTAACTCACCAGATCTATGGCCATCAAGACTAAAGTGTGTAAAAAGAAATCCCAGGAACTAAAAGCAGCTTTTGTGATATTGAGAAATAGTCATTTTCCTCCAAATTTATTAATATCTTTTTCTGTTTGACCATATAGCCTGTCAGGTGTTCTTAAAATGTTTACCCAGATCAGTCCACACCACAAATGAGTACCAGGAAATGTTATGTGAAGACAAAGTGGCCAACATGGTTTTACTTTCTCACCCATAGTGTCCCAGTTGGTTTGTCAGATAGGAGGATGGTACTGTATACATAAACTATACAAGGAATGGGGCTCCATTGTCTGGAAAACAAAAACAGACCCACTGCCTCCCCAACAAGCTTATCATAAGAGTCAACTAATTGGGGACTTCCTTCCAAGTCAGAGTGCATCTGCCTGAGAGGCAAGAAAGCAACATTGTACATACAAATAAGCCAGGTCTGTGAAATGGACGGGCATGCCACACTCAGGTTCTGGAACAAGACTAATATCCAGAGGTGGACGAACAACCAGAACTTTCTGCTGGAGTTTACATCCGATGAACACAAAGAAGAAGATGAAAACAAGGCATGGGAAAGGGTACTTACTTAATTTGTTTGTAACTGTTATAGAATTGTAACTTTATTTGTATAGAGTGAGTGCAGTTTATCAGAATAAGAAATGTCTGCCTTCACCACAATGAAGGTTCGCTCAAGTGTACCACTGTTGTCTTTGGGATTATTAGCATATGGTGAGACCCCAATCTGTTCGAACGACTGCCTTAAAACCGTGATAATGATGGTTTTTTTTTACAGTCCACCATGGGGAACGAACCCTAGTACTCAGTGATCATGAAATTGTTCACCGCATACTCTAGCCTCTAAGACACAGAGCTGCACTGTCACAATGAAGCTGGGTGGTGCTGGTAGTCATGTCTATCCACAGCCTTCTGTTATGTGTACTTTGAGTCAACTCTGACACAGATGGTCTTCCATGCCATGATGTCAGACTGTCCAGTATCTTTTCTCTCTATCTCCCTCTGCCTCTCCTCCCCTCCAACTTTCCTACTGTCCCGATATACTCCAGTTTTCTTCTTCTCATCACATGACCAAAGAATGTAGATTGTCTCTTTCTGATGTGGCAGTCAGTTCTCTTGTAGATTGTCTCTTTCTGATGTGACAGTCAGTACTCTTCGTGAGTCAGTTTTTTTTAAAGACAATTTTCTATTACTCTTTTTGTAATCCAGGGTCCAGGGTATTCTCATCATTCGTCTATAAAACCACATCTCCGCAGCTTCCAAATAAGTTCTCAATAATTTGCATCATCAGTCATCATGTTCTCGTTCAAGCTATTTGCACTGAGCTCTAGAGAAGACTCCATGCTTTCCTGTCTATGATCATGCAGTAGTACTAGGTTTTTCTGTTCCCAAATGTTGAAGCAAGATATTTGCCTAAAAATGTTTAAAATTTTTTTTCTGTTCAGTGGTACGAGAATTGCACAGAGGAAGAGATTAGGGCCTCACCACATAATATTTCTGAAGACTGCAGCCAACCTTAATTGTGGAGACGGCACAATATTAATTTAATGAAGGTAGTGGATCCGTTTGCCTCTGTGCGGCCGGGACCTTTAGGGGAGAGCTCAGAATAGCATCACTGCATCCTATCAGGCATGTCATAAGAGACAACTAACAGTAGGGTAGGGTTGGGCTTGGGGCTGGCTACCTTATCCTGAAAAGAAAAAACAACAGCCACAAAAACTAACCAACCATGAAATAGTCAAAAAGAGAAGCGAGTAATACCCATCATCATGTAGTAGGTCCTTTGCAGAGCGTCGCTCTCATCACGGTCTGCCTGAAAGAAACTCGATTTCTTGCCAGATCTCCTGCCTCATGTCTTTCATATTCAAGGAGCTATTTATATCCTGTGCCCATCTTCGTGTTGGTCAACCCTGCCTATCTTTCCTGGTACCATGCCTTCTGCTATTATTTTTTCCAATCCGCCATGGCGCTTGATATGACCAAAATATTTCAGCTTCCGAGACAAGTGTAATACCTAGTCAGGCAATACTGGAAAAAAAGGAAAAAATGGGGGTGGGGGGGGGGGGGTGGGTTGGGGGGCTGTTTAAATAGAAGAAAGATGACATGATGCAGAGAAAGCCAGAAGGAGTGTGGATCATCAGCGCGTCTCCTTTAATCTGGGACATTCTCAAGAATCAGCGCCTAAAATGTTAGAACTTTGTACATTGGATGAGCTGCATGCATTAGCCGAAATTGGTTGAGGGCCTGTGCTCCATTCGGGGATAAAGGTCAGAAGAAGAAAGTGGGTCTGTTTCACTAGTCTGAGTCTTTCAATTTAGGAGTGCAATTTTTATGTTAATCCCTGGAAATCACCACTGACTCTGCAGAGTTTGTTCTTGGTGTGATGCTTTCGGTAGGCAGCCTGCTCTGAAGAGAGAATCTGAGCCATTTGGGATAAAATCTGGCACAGTAAAGTCGGTCGTCTCGACTTTAAAACAGGGACAAAGAATGAAATACTTTGGCCATCTAGTGAGAATGCCAGACCAAATTGCATATGAGAGTTTTTACAGCAGAACATCTGGGAGGAAGTTGAGAGGAAGGTCAAAAAAGACATGGATAAATGATGTAGCAGAAACCTGCAACAAAACCTGAACAAATCTATCACCCAAGCCACCCAAGAAGCACAAGACAAATACAGAAAACCCTGACACTGGGCTGCAACCTAGTATCAATGAGACGACAAAATAAGAGGAAATATGACAACTAAAGGACTCTACAACCTTCACTATTTTATGCATAAAATTTTTCAGGCAAGAATTTTGCATGTAATTAATTATATTTCAGGCAAGGATTTGGATGAGACTCCAATAATTATTGCTGATACCACAAGCCCAACATCCTTGGAAGAAATGGCTAAGCAGGGAAGAGTGATATTGAATGTTGTAGGTCCAGTAAGTATATTCACAGATATCACGTAAAGTGTACCAGGTAACAAACAAGTGGGGGGGGGGGGGTGGGGGGGGGGGGGGAGCCTAGAACCACATTTCCGCTTTAAATTAAAGCATGAAATGGAGTCATCACTTTCCCAAGTATGTTCTGAAGCCCGACTGTGGAGAAAACAAGAAAAGACACACTGCCTCCCAATCAATCACGTTGTAAGAGTCGACTAACTGGGGGCTTCCTTCCAAATCAGAGTGCATCTGCCAGAGAGGAAAAAAGAACAGTCTGCATGCAGATATGTCAGATCTGTGAAATGGATGTGCATACTGCACTCAGGTTCTGGAACAAGACTAAAGCCCTGAGGTGGACAAACAACCAGAACATTACAGCCCGCCGAAAGTGAGGAAGAAGAGGAGTCATCATCGTCTAGTTCTGTTTCATTTAGTCCTGTAGTATGTACTTTCAGTGAAGACATCCTCCATGGTGACTCACAGATGGGTAGAAGATGTTGAGGCTGGCCTCTGCTACGATATAAAGATGTGTGCTAGTGGAACATGAATATTACATGTATTGAGATCGATTTGTGGCAACAAAATGGCATGGACTGTGTTGCGTAGAGAGGCCAAATGAGGAAGGGAATGAGAATGAAGGAAAAAATGATTGCAGAAAGAATAAGACTTCCGTTTTCAAAATGGCAGATAGCAGCTGTGTTTATTTTCACTGGCTGTCAATTCTCTCAGATTATTCTGTTTCATAATCATGAAATGCTATTTTGTGCGCATTTACAATGCAGGATGCTATTTGTTTTTTGTGGGAGTAGCGTGTATTGTGGTTGTGCTATGTCGGGGCGGGATAATGACAGATAGTTTTGGCAGCCTCGACCACGCTGCCTTCGCAATGTTTTGATCGCGGCGGTCCACTCTGGAAGACAGAATCTCGTCAGCAGGGGACTGCAACTGTCTAGAGAGCAAACTCGAGAAAAGCTGTCCCCAGAAATGGAATGTGTCAACCATATATTTGATGGGGAGGAATCGACACATACGGTTAACTCAGTGGCCAAGCCGATTGCAGAAAGGATGAGAGCTGAACATCTGAGAAGAAACATATTAAATACATGTCATGGCAACAACATTTCTGAAATCCCTTGCTCTAATTGTGAAAGACTTTTCTTAATGCATTCAGATCTTGCTAGTCACACTCGCCATCACCACGAGCTGTGTGGTTCACATGTCTCCTAATAGTACCATCCTCTGAAAAGATTAAAAAATGCCAACAAAATTTCCTTTCATTTATAGCCATAATGGTAGTTGCCATGGCAGAGCGGCTAGACGCGTGCCGCAGATCGGAAGGACGTGGGTTCGCTTCCTGGCTGAGCCGGACCTTTTTGAAAAATGACCTTGGCTCCCAGGTCGACCCAGCCTTGAGTGGGTACCAGGTGCAGTCCCTGGAAGTAAAGGCGGCCAGCATGTTGCTGACCACATCACCCATCTTGTGCCATTGGTCTATAAAATATAGATCTAGCCCTATATGCCCTATACGCCTAAAGGCGTGGAAAAGGGTCCTTTAAAAAAAAATCTTTAATAGCCATAATACACATAAATTCATGAAGAATCTATGGCATAGTGCCTGCAAACAAGTTGAAGTAAAAAATTCATCATGCATCTTTCCCATGGCAGCTTATGGGTGTAAGTCTTTGACTCTCACTCAGTCTTTGAAAAAGAAGACCAGAGCTTTTGAACTGAAGTGCAACATACACATTCTTAGAATGCCATGGACCAAGAAAAAAGAAAAATGTCAACATCCTGCATGACCTGAACATGAAGGAAAACTGGCTCGTGAACAGCATCCTGTCCCAAAAGTTTAGGTATTGTGGACATGTCAAGCATCATGGTGGTCTGGAGAGAATGATGGTAGAGGAGGCAGTTTCTGGAAAACAAGGCAAATGTTGTCCTACACGAAGGTGGATACAGGAAATAGAAGATGAATTGGCCGTGAAAGCACACAGGGCTGGAGAATTGGCTAGAGAAAGAGAGACTTTCAGGTGTAATGTGAAGACAGTAACATTCTGTAAAGAACATTCTGATCAATTGATTATAGCCATAATATGTTCTGTACAATGTTACCAATAAATATATCAGCTGACTAATTCAAATGATTGCAGTATAATCTGTATGGAGAACCTGTTGTGAGAGCTTGTATCGAGGCAGGCACCCATCATCTGGACATCAGTGGTGAGTCACAGGTATGTGGACATTTTCTCAGTATTCTAGGTGCCATCTTCACAGTGAAGGTTATTGTGGTGGATCTCCAGCAGTCTTTGTCTTGTGCCCTGGTTGTACTCTCTAACACACTGCTCTCTCCCCTCTCTGGATTCTTCTTCTTCTTCTTCCTCGTGTTCACCACCTGTGAACTCTGGCAGATAGCTCTGGCTGTTCATCCACATCTGGTCTTCGTACAGAACCTGAGTGATGCATGCACATTTGTTTTAAAGATTGTGATTTATTTGTATGCAGATTGTTGGTTCCTTGCCTTAGGCTGATGCACTCCGACTTCAAAGGAAGCCTCCAGTTAGTCCACTCTTACAACATGCTTTTGGAGAGGCAGTGGGTCAATTTTTGTTTTCCCTACACTGGGACCCCAGAATCCATATGGGGAAATTAGGAAATGATCAGATGATGACAGTACCAGTATTTGGCCTGGCTAAACTGATTATTTAAATGATATTCTTTATTTTGTTTTACAGCCAATGATTGTGTTTGCAATTTCTTCATCAGTACTTGGAGAAGATGCAACTTTTGTACAATGCCAAAGCGAAGGAAAACAATGTGTTCATCATTGGTTCAGTGGGATTTGATAGTATTCCTGCAGAGATGGGTCTAAGGTACACCATCCAACAGTTTAAAGATGGTATGTTTGATACCTTAAATGTTCAGTATGTATCAAGTAAACAAGATCTTCTTTCTCTGTTCTTACTTCTTCTTCCTTTATCTTCTTTTAACCAACTGCTTATGCAGTAAAGTGTTGCAGAGAGGAGTTAGATGTAGTTTCCTGTCTTAGGCTATTTGTATAGCTTGTGTTAATACCATTTTGAGTTTCTGTTGTATCACTTTTACTCCCTCCACCCATCTCTTTCTTGGTCGACCTCTTGCCTTGTAGCCTGCTATCACATATAGTACACTCTAGCTGCTGGCTGATATTTTTCCAGTCTGACAAGATGACAAAACCATTTGATTCTTCGATGTTCTACTTTCTCCTTCAGCTGTTGCTTATCCTTTTTCTTTCTCCTGCTCTTTTCCCACCTCTGGTTTTTCCTTTTCTTTTTCTACTTTTTCTACCTGTGTGCAATTTGTATACATTGAAAATCATAGAGCAGTCAATAATCGCCAAGAAGGCCACAAATCCTATGTCCTGTAAAGGCCCCTTTTACATACATTTAGGCTCTCTACCCTGTACATATTTTCTTCTTTCATATCAAGATTCAAAGTGACCAAGATTTTTTGAATAAAAGAACCTTTTAATATCAGTGACACGTCGGGTGCGTAGATTTAATGTTCACTATTATTTATATTTATTCATTTTATTTTTTAATGTTTTCTTTCAGTTTTATACCTTTAGATTTGCATACTGTAGGATTAATATCTCAAGGATGAGAATCAAACAGCTACAAATCCCAGAAATCTTGTTCAACCATAAAGCCAGATCATCAAGTGCATTACCAACTGGCGAGGTCAATTCTGACTCTTCTCAATCTGCGATTTGCAACTGCATGTATCTGTTCGTGTGTTGACACCCCTCCATGCCATGACAAAAGACTGTCAAGAATCTTCTCCTGCTGTCTTCCTCTGTCTCTCCTTCCACAGATCTTTTCAGTGGCCACAAGATGTTCCAGTTTCCCTCTTCTCATAACATGTTCAAGAAATGATGACTGTCTTTTTATGATGTTTGCAATAAGTTATGTTAAAGCACTCACCTCTTTCAAAACATCTGGGTTGCTGTCCTTAGCCGTCCAAAGAATTCTAAGGTTTCTACTGTAAAACCACACCTCTAAGGCCTCAAAATATTGTTCGGCTTTATTAATTATCCAGGATTCACAGCCGTATGTTAAAACTGACTCTGTATAGCATATAAGAATTCCTTTCCTAACCTTATTGCACAAAATGTTCTTCATTTTGTAAAAGGCAGTTTTGGCCTGTCCTATTCTGTTCTTTGACTATACATTTAGGCACTATTCTTTTCTTGGAAATCACCATTACTTCTGTCATCCCATAATTCAAAAGAGGCTCTTCTTATCACTTTCTACCACCAACATGTCTATCAGTTCCTGTAGTTTTTTCTGACTTGTCGCTATCAGCATAACATAGGTTGTTTGTTTTACGACCATGAGCCACAATTCCTGGCAAATCCATGAAAGATCTCACTATATATTCACTGTATAATGAAAACAAATCAGATGCCAGTACATGTCCTTGTCGTACTCCCCTCTTTATGCTGTGAAATGCTCTCAAATTCTTATAGCTGTATAACACAGTTGTATTAGGGCATCACAGAATGGTTATAAAGTAACATGCAGTTCCAGTGTGGGTGGGTTTGAATTCTTCTTATTCATCTTATGTTCGCATTCTGATTTACCATGTCAGACAAGTTCTTGTGATAAACATGACTGTTTTTAGGAGTTCCCTTTTAGTTCAGTACAACTGCTTGTACAGTGTTGACCTACTGGGCCAGTAGAGTTTGACTGATTGGTGATGAGTACTATTAGTGATGTGGATACACCTATTTCTAACCTAGATTTGGTGCAGATGTAGCTGGTATTGTCTGAAGATTTAACCTCTACACCGGGGCAGTTTAACTAAGTTTACTCAGGGGCCAACATTCTGAGCCTGGGGATGTCCCAGTGTGGGTTCTGGGGCCCTGTTACGAGCAAAACAAAAATAGACCCACTGCCTACTCAAAAGCATGTCGTATCGTAAGAGTCAACTAATTGGGAGCTTCCTTCAAATTTGGAGCGCATTTGCCTGAGAGGCAAGGAACCAGCAGTCTGCATACACATGAATCAGATCTGTAAAACGGATGCACACGCAACACTCAGATTCCAGAAGTGGACAAACAACCATAACTTTCTGCCAGAGTTTACAGCTGGTGAACGTGAAAAAGAAGAAGAAGAAGAAGAAACCTGGGGATAATCATGGGTCAGAGACCCATGCTCCAGCATAGAAAGATCATTAATACAATACAACAGTGATCTGTCGACCACTTGCTAGGCCTCCGCAGGCCAAATCTAGTCCACCTTTAGAATAGAACTGCTCCACACCATCAACAAAGCACCATTTGTTACTGATTCTGCCGCTGCTTCTTCTGCCTTTGACTCCTGAAGGATAGAATACTAATGTATAAACCATTTTATTTCATCAGGTCAGTTGACTAACTTGGAGTCTTTTGTGTCGGCACACAGCACAACAGGGGTGAGTTGGTATGTGTAAGTCTGTGCGAGTATTTGTGGGTGTGTTAGTATGCGTTTGTGTGTGTGTGTGTGTGTGTGTGTGTGTGTGTGTGCCATTATGTGTCTGTAGGTGTGTATGGCTGCATGTGTATCTGTGTTTGTCTGTGGCTGTGCGTGGCTTTGTGTGTATCTGTGTGAGTCTCTATAGGTGTGTCTATTATATAATGTCTGCGTGTCTCTGCTTGTGTCGGGTTGTGCGTCTCCGTGTATGTCTGTGTGCGTATGTGTGACTGTACATGTCTGTGTGCGTATACCTGTGTATGTGTGGGTGTTGCGTATGTCAATGTGTGACTGTTTCCCTGCCTGCGTGTGTGTATGTGTTTGTGTGTGTGTGCCCGTGACTGCATGTGTGTGTGTCTGTATGTGTCTTGGTTGTATGCGTGTGTGTTTTAGAGCGTGTGTATGAGTGTATGTATGTATGTTCGTATGTATGTCTGTCTGTCTGTCTGTGTGTCTGTCTGTCTGTGTGTGTGTGTGTGTCTGTCTGTCTGTCTGTCTGTCTGTCTGTGTGTGTGTCTGTCTGTCTGTATGCGTGCGTGCGTGCGTGCATGAAAGATGGAAGTTTAGAAGGGCTGAATGTAAGACAGGCCTGCGTGCCTAATTTGTAACCCTTTGAAAATAAAGTTCGTTCCTTCTGTATATTGTAACTCAACTCAAAATACCAAGGTCAGCATAACACTAGAAATCTATAACAGAAGAAATATGAACACCTGTATGCGGGTGTGTTGTGAAATAAACAGGCAGATATATTGACTGATGCAGCACCGTTTGGTTGTGACTTGATGCATGACAACCTAGACGTGGTCAAGGCCCGTTGGGAGCAAGTGAACAGTGCTAATAATTACGGATTGGAGACATTGGTGCGGAGACCAGGAAATCTTTACCTCATTCTATATTCAGAGGAAAGGCAAGACAGACACATATTCAAATTGCTACTGGTGCAAATGGAATTGGGACACTTTATTGGCTGCTGTATATGATGACAGAGTGTTTAGGGGATTGTCCCGAATGCCTTGATGTCAGATCTTGACTCATCGTAACTCAAAGATTTTACAGGCTTTATAACAGAGCAAAATAAACAAGAAGGTGTCTGAACAAGTGAGAAAAAATATTAGCAAGTTAAATAAACGTTTTAAAAATAATTAAATAACTGTGCTGAATATTGATCCCTGAAGGAGTTAGAGTGCCAGCACTGTGAATGAAACCGTTTTTTTTAAGGAGAGATGGATGGTTTGATCACCATGGCAAGATTTTTTGGCAGTAACTGAGATGTTGATTTTATGAGAACTATTAAAATAAGGGAAACTGGTTTGAAAGCCGCATTGTGAATATACATTAAATGTTTGTGGAAACAAACTGCTGACTTCCAACTGGTTTTCCCAGTATATGCATTTTTTTGCCGGTGATGGTACATCATTTTATGCACAGGAACTGGTTAGTGAATGTTTATAGTTTATAAGTAAATATCTTAGTTATCTTCTGTGATTCCAGACAGAGGTACTGATTTCATCGGATCAACATAATTTTAAAACAATTTGACAAAAAAGTGTTAAGTATCTACAGTTAACAGTAACTGCTTTGTTTCTTTTTTTTTTTTTTAAATACTGTATCAAGGACTTTACTGCCAGTAGTGGAACATTTGAATCAGCTGTTTATGGATATGCCCGCAAGAGTGAACTAAAATCTCTGAGACAATCTTTGTTTTCAGAGCCAATGCCAGACTTTGAATACACCCTTCCCAAGAGGTAGGTTGTGTCAGTTTGTTGATTTGGTGATACACTTTTTAGACAAGCATAATTTCAGAGGTTGAACTAATCTCCTAAAGAAGAGACTGTCGGGAAAGTTATCCTGGTGAACAAATGCCTGTTGAAGTTGGATGTTTCGGCTGAAAGGTGCAAATGTCACAGCTGTGTTGTAAACAGGCACAGTGCAATTACGTCACTCAGAGAAAAATACGAAGAAAAGAGACACTGAGATATCTACATGGCAAACTGTTTCACAGTAGAAACAATCTCATAAAAACCTTTCATTTATGTTATAAATATATCATATTTCCTTCTTCTTATTCTTGTTCACCGGCTGTAAACTCCAGTGGAAAGTTCTGGCTGTTCATCCACTTCTGGAATTCGGTCTTTTCCTATAACTCTGAGGTTTGCATGCATATCAGTTTTACAGATCTGTCTATTTTTGCATACAGTGGGTCTGCTCTAGTTTTCCTTACAGTGAGGCCTTTTAACCTACTCATGGAAGAGGGCAGTGTATGAGACAGAAGGCTGTGGACTTAAATGGTGACCAACGCCACATAGTACGGGCATTTAGTAGAAGATCAGTACAAGAATAGACAACAGAACAAATAAGCCAGATCTGTTAAATGATATATGCACACAAAACTCAAGCTCAGAAACAAAAGTCTAGAAGTGGATGAACAACCAGAACTTTCCGTTGGAGTTTACAAACAATGAACGTGAAGAATAAGAAGAAGACGAACAACAACAACTTATGACCCAGCTAGTTGTTATACTCACCCATTTTATCCAAGTTTTTACTTCAACACCTCCTATCCAATAATGCTATTATTTTAAATTCTCGAACTCAGATGTTGATGCCAATGCAGAGATGCATGGCAATACGTGCCGAGGCACCAGGACTAAGGCTGTTGTTGTATTTGCATCTCTTCACAATCATCCTGTAAACAGGTTCCCTATCAGCAGAGAGCCTAATCAGCATAGAAATAATCGACATTTCAATCGAGGTCAGAGCAGAATGCAGAATAACACTCCTATGGTGGACCTATGGAAAGACTCACTTGCTTCTTGGCAGTTCTCGTGTCCAGTGTGTGTTTAATATCTTGTGTCCTCTAATGTCACTCACGGTCTTGTGATGATCGACCCATCTATTTCTTTGAGCTTCTTCTTCTTCTTCTTTCATTCCCTTGAAATAGATTATCTATATCTGGTGTTGTCTCTAGTGTGAAATTCACTGTCTGTTGTAATTCACTCAGCGACCCGTAAAGTTTGACTTGCACCGATGTTTCTCTTGGCCAAAAGTTGGGCCTTGATATGGTGTGTTTGGGACAGTCTTGCAGGACATGATCTGTTGTCTCAGGTGCCAGTCCACACGTACACATGGCTGATTCACCGATTTTAAATTTTGTACACATGTGGCTGTGAAGTCGATTGTGTCCTGTTCTAAGGCGTAGAATAATAACTTGCTCTTGTGTGTCCATAAAATGGTAATCATCTTGTGCTCGGTTTTGGTGGCTTTCTGATTGATTCGATTATTCTCTTCTTTTGTTAATAAGAGACTGATACATCTGGTTGTTCTTTATTTGTACCTTCCTTGGCTAGTTTATCAGCTCTTTCATTTCCAGGAACTTCACAGTGAGATGGTATCCATCATAAAGACACATGCTTTCTTGTTCTTTCTAGACCCTAGCTGCATTTCATTTGGCTAAATTATTTCTTTCTCTAGCCATGATAACATTTATCTGCAATTTAGTGAAAGTTTAGATTTGAAGCCTTGATCATCTATAAACTAAATGTTTTATCTCCATGTTCTATGTCTGACCTGATTGTTTGATGTTGAACTTGAATATTTCACACCTGACAGAGGGAACCTATTTTACAACAAAGAGTTGAACAAGTGGTGCCTGCCATTTGTTGGCAGTGACAAACCTGTGGTGTACAGAACCATTCGTGACCACCTGGCAAGTGGGAAGTTAAAGAAGCCAGTAAGTGGACACATTTACTGCTTTGATAGTGCTCTGTATTTCGTCTTAATCATCAAGCTCTGATCCTGTGCTCAATCCACAGTTAGTCATAAATTGGGACAGCTTAAGGTCTCTTAGTTTTGAGTATTGTGGTTTAAGATCAGGGATGGGCACAATTTTTTTTTTAAATCTGCAGTCCAAATTTAGAATTACCAACCTGGTTGTGGGCTATGTAGGAAAAAATCCATTACCAACATCAAACCCAGATTTCTTCATAACACAATATTTATGTGGGAGACTGCACTTGTTTTTTCATCTGTAAACTGGCCGACCAGAGAAAAATAACAGTTGTAGCCTTACATTTTATAATCAAAGTCTGCAAACAGACACTGTTTCTTAATGTCTGAGTTTGTCCACACACGTGTTTCACTAGCAGGTTCAAAGATTTGGCAACATCAGTTTCTAGTTATCACTGTTTAGGTTAGCACATTTTTTAAAAGAGATATTGGTTTTTTGAATCTGTTTCTTTCTGTATATGAACATAGGTTTCTGTGTTCTGCTATTTTGTGAGCTTAAAGACCAGATTTTATTGTAATTTTACACCAGTAAAAATTGCTAAGCAGGCAAGTTTTCGCCAGAGGGCCGTAGTTTGCCCACCCCTGTTTAAGACATATAATACTGTTTATGAGTCAGTATTCTTCTGTTCAGAAATTATAGAATGTCATTGTCTTCTTGTCTTTCCTGGGGCCCCATTTTGGGAGAAAGGAGGGGGGGGGGGTGTCTACCACCATCACCCCCCCCCCCCCCCCCCCAACAGACATGTTGTCTTCTTATTCTTAGCATTCACCGGCTGTAAACTCCGACAGAAAGTTCTGGTTGTTCATCCAGTTTTGGATTCTAGTCCTGTTTCAGAAACTGGAGTTTTGCGTGTACGTTTGTTTCACAGGTCTGACTCATTTGCATGCAGATTGTTGGTTTCTTGCCTCTCAGGCAGATGTAGACTTCGAAGGGAGCTCCCAGTTAGTCGACTCTTACAACATGCTTTTGGGCAGGCAGTGGCTCTATTCTTGTTTTCCCTACAATGGGGCTCACAGAACCCACACAGGGACAAGCATATTGTAATGGGAGATTAATTAGGGTTTTGCTAAAATCAGATATGTTGGACCGAAATGTGCAGATATCACAGCCTAGCTTTAAACCACAACTTAATCCACCAACTAAAGATGAACACAAAAGAAAAAGATCCAAATCTGGCCCCCGGGCTGCCAGTTGAATGGCCCTGCTATAAAGCATGACATAACAAGCTATTAAGAGAGGGTTGGTTTTGGCGAGTTTCATGTAGACATTTTGATAACATTAATTTCTTCTCTGTTCCCAGATTGAATTCAACAATTATTTCTGTGTTGGCAGTTTGCGGACAGCTATGCTGACTGTGTCCTTGTTTCTTGTCTTTGGATTATTCACCAGCTTCTCGCTTGGAAGATCACTTCTTTTGAGGGTAAGTCTTGCCAGCTTCAGAGAGTGAGCCTTCACTTCTTCACTTGCTGTAAACTCCAGTGGAAAGGTTCTGGTTGTTTGTCCACTCTTGAACTTTAGTCTTGATCCAAAACTTGAGTTTTGTGTGCACATCTATTTTATAGATCTGGCTTATTTGTATGCAGACTGTTGGTTCCTTGTTTCTCAGGCAGATGCGCTCTTATTTTAAAGAAAACACTCCTAATTAGTCGCCTCCTAGGACATGCTTGATAGGGAACACTGGGCCTATCCCCCTTCCCCACCCTCTCCCACAATGGTGGCCCAAAAACCACTTGGGCAGATACAAACTAAACTACTTGGCCAGAAAGCCTTCTTCTTCTTCTTCCCTTCATCCCCCAGTGGAACATAGGCCCTCAACCAACTCACTTCAAGTTCTCCTGTGCTTTGCTATTACATGAAGCTTAATCGGTGTCCTCATCTTTTTAATTCCACCCTTTAGCTTCCCCTGCATGTATGTTTTTTTTAAAATGTTTGGCCTGACTTTATTTATGTGACATTACATATGTTAAAATTGAAACATTATATATATATATGTGTGTGTGTGTGTGTAACTTGGTTTTAAAACTTCACATTTAGAACAAATAGGGTATAGATTATCTGTCTGCAACAAAAGAGTCAACATGTTGGTTTAGTTTGTACACGTGGATATTTTCTCAAGTGCCTTAGTATCCTTCGGTGCATCACATAAGAATATTAGGAGCAACTGGCTGCACATAGTGCCAGCAAAGATTTCTGAGAATATTTTGGCCAAACAAGATACTGAATGAAGAACTGAGAATGAGAGAAGTTTTCATCATTTGCAGCATTATCAACAAAAGAAGATGGCAATGGCTTGTACATGTCTGCAGAATGTCTCAATACACACTGTTAGTAACAGGTCTTCAGTGCACGGCAGATAGAAAAAGGAGATAAGGACACACTGTTAGTAACACTAAGGAAATCCAGAGGACAAAATAAAGGAAATAAAGAAATGTAAATGGGGTACTTGGAGCAGACTGGCTGCAGTGTGAATGCCTTATATGTCTGTAGTGACATGAAAAGGATAAAGATAGACAGAAAAAGGATCTACGTATTTGGCTACCAGAGTCATCTTCTTCTGTTCTCTACGCATAGCGGTGTCAGGGCAGGAAGAGCTCTCTGGAACGAGCCCTTCTGTTCGCTTCATATAAAGTACTTTTCAGTGTCTCTGATATTTCTGTGATCCATCTTCTGCATTGTCAACCTCTGGCTCTGTTACCGTTTTGTGTGTATAGCATTACTCTCTGACGAAGAAGATGGCGATGGTTTGTACATGTCTGCAGAAGCAACATTTCAGGCTACCAGAGTCACGTGTGCTACTAAAATAAAGGACCCTTTTCCCACACCTTCAGGCATATAAGGCTAGACCTCGATTTTATAGACCAATCAGCACTTCACGGGTGATGTGGTCAGCGTCACGCCCGCTACTTTTACTTCCAAGAACTCCACCTGGGACCACCGATTCAAGGCTAGATCAACCTGGCAGCCAAAGCCATTAAAAAAAAAAAAAATCTGGTACCGTCAGGAGCTGAACCCTGACCTTATGATCCGCAGGCAAGCGTACTTGTGTTGTGTGCAGGTTTTTTCTGGTGGTACGCAACAGTACTTAGTTTTGAAAAAAATGTAAAGGTCATTTTACACCAGTGGTGCATCGGGAAAATGAGGCTAGACTAATATTTGATTAGACAACTTGGCTCTCGATGGGTGGTGTGGTTTACATCATGCCGGCCACCTTTACTTCCCAGGACTTTACCTTTTTCAACCTGAGAGACAAGGTCATGTTGGAAGAAGAAGAAATCAGACTCTATGCGAATTTCAGCCTGTGACCTTCAGATCCGCAGGTGACTGACTAGCTGCTACACCAAAGTGACCCTCCTTGGTACTCAGTACTTGCACCTAATTTATGGACAAAATTAATGAGATGTACTTATTTCTCCACAGTACCCACATATTTTCTCATTTGGCTTATTCAAGAAAGAAGGCCCAACAAAGAAACAGGTAACTTTTTTTTTTTAAAAATCATTGTCCTGGAAACATTGCAACAAAAAGGTGTATAAATTTGTGGGGCCCCCAGAGCATTGTAATAAAGGAATAGTTTCTTATGTACCTGTATACAGCACTGCATCTATGCAACCATTCTGGGAGTCACTGTGGTGTAGTGGCTAGATTCTCATCTGTGGATCCAAAGGTCTTGGGCTCAAATTCAAACAGAGCCACAGGGTGACTAAGCCCTAAATAGGTATCAGGTAAAGTCCTGGGAAGTAAAGGTGGTCCGGATGATGTTTAACACATCACTGAGTGTCGATTGGTCTAAAATATAGGTATATAGGTCAAGCACTGTATGGCCAGTACCCCTGAAGGTGTGGAAAAGGGTCCTTTTAACTCTTTGAGTCCCAAGGAACGCACCATACATTCATAGGTTCCTACCTAGAGGCCCAATAAACAATACATGCACCAATTTTAGGTCTCTCTTGACTACCCCTTGGGCCTCTGATGCTCAACCCCCTTGGACTCAAATAGTTAATGTACCAATTATAACCCATTTTTAGCATAGCAGGTCGATTATGATCATCAAATTATAAATCATAATAGAATAATAGTATATCCTTGTCCACGAACGCTAAGAAGAAAAAGTCAAAAGGTAAAAGTAAAGTCGGGAGATGTTAACCAGCATCATTGCAGACGGTTATAAACCATAAGGGCTCTGCCACCAGTATGGACAGCAGATAAGAAACTGTCTGCCTGTGTCCCCGTCCGCACGTAACTCCGTAGCTACAGCGACGTTCCTCCATTTACCACAGAGTGTCTACTCTGGTACCCATTTCCTAGAGGCTGGGTGAACCCCGGGAACCGCCCGGTTTCAAACACTGACCGTGGCTGCGAGTTGCAGCTGAATTTGAAAGCAAGCCTCCTATCGACTGCGCTAACGCAGCTCGCTAAAGAAGAAAAGGAAGATTATTATTTTTTATATATATCCAATGCCTTGCTTGTCCTTAATTTTTGATTCTCTCAGATTTGTGTAATTCTCTCCCTAAACTTTACATTAGTGATTCTGTCATCATCATCATGTAGCAGGTCCGCCTGAAAGAAACTCGGCCTCTCGCCAGCTCTCCCGCCTCATGTACTTGCATACTCAAGGAGTCACTTATATCCTGTGCCCATCTTCGTGTTGGTCGGCTCTTGCCCCTCCTTCCTGGTACCATGCCTTCAGCTATTATTTTTTTCCAATCCTTCGTGGTGCTTGATATGACCAAAATATTTCAGCTTTTGAGACAGGATGCTGTTTATTAGCCAATCTTCCTTGATGTTCAGACCTTCCAAGATGTCAATATTTCTCCTCTTCTTTGTCTAAGATATTCTGAGAATTTTTCTATAATATTTCAGCTCAAAGGCCCCTATTCTCTTTGTTAATGACTGGGAGAGTTAGTCCACGACTCACATCCTTATGTTGCTACAGGGAAGATGCATGCTCTCAAAATTCTAATTTTAATCTCCTTGCTTGTGCTTAACCATAGACTTTTAATGCAGTTTAATCTTTGCATTGCTATGGCCATCATCCTTTTAATTTCTGTCAGTTTCCATTGCTATTTATTATAAATAAATAATAGAGCCTAGATATTCAGTTTGTGACATCTTCAATTTCTACAGTAATTCTGTAGTATCTGATTATTCTGTCTGTTCTACACAGGCACTCGTCAGTGAATATTTTTCGAATATTTGTAATTGTTTTAACCGTTCTCACCAATTATCAAATGAAATTCATTGTGACCAAGGTATGAAAGCTCACTGGAGTTTTATTTTTACTCGTAATATTGCTTTTCCTCAGATTGATGCCCAAACTTTTAGCATGACTTTCATTGGTTATGGCTATGATACAGTAGACACCAGCAGAACTAACAAAACACCTAACAAGAAGATCACAGCCAGAATTTTGGGACCAGGTATATATCAGTTCTAATTTTCAAACTGACTGCATTGAACAATAAATTAATCAAAAAAGATTTGGACATCACCCCACCGGGACATTCTTACACAAATTGTGTCCCTTTCTTCAGTAGCTAGCAAAGAGTCGACAGCTAGCAGTACCGGTTGCAACCTGATAGGAAATACGCCTGCCCTGCCCCATGTATGGATTTTCTTTCTGCTCTATTGCACTGTCCCTTTGATCCCAGAGAGCCTTCACCACATCTGCTGTACCGTAAAGTAAATCAATGCACAGAGGGCCAGCAGCAGCTAGTCTGTCAGCCTGCTTGTTACCTCGCACACCTGAATATCCTGAACAGAAAATCCGTGACATGCTCCTCTTCTGAATCTTATCAAGTGACACAAACCACTCTGCGCACAAGATGCCAGCTTCAATTTTCCGAAGCATGCTCTGCGAATCCATTACAATTACACTACACTAAACAAATGCCTAAGGAAAATGATTTCATCTGTCGGTGGTTTAGGGAGAGAGCTGACTCTTTTAGGACCACATTTTGTCTGGGGTTTGGACAGCATTAATTTAGAGCGGAATTTTTTTTACAACAACATGACAAAGCTTAAACCTTCCTGAAGAAAAAGGAATCGCTGTAAAGAGACATATATCAAATTAAAGAAAAAAGTGCAGAATAAATCTAAACTATTTAAGTGTCAGTATTACAACAAAATATTTTTTAACTCACACAACATTCAAGGATTTTAGACACATATGAGGATTATTCACACAACAAATGTTCTGCTTACTTTACTTGTTACTTGTTCAACAACACTGCTATATATTTCTAAAAATGCACATGCCTTCTCTGTTCAATTATGTATCAGCAAGTTTTCAACACTGCTATCCATTTCTAAAAATGCATATGCCTTCTCTGTTCAATTATGTATCAGCAAGTTTTCAACACTGCTATCCATTTCTAAAAATGCATATGCCTTCTCTGTTCAATTATGTATCAGCAAGTTTTCAACACTGCTATCCATTTCTAAAAATGCACATGCCTTCTCTGTTCAATTATGTATCAGCAAGTTTTCAACACTGCTATCCATTTCTAAAAATGCATATGCCTTCTCTGTTCAATTATGTATCAGCAAGTTTTCAACACTGCTATCCATTTCTAAAAATGCATATGCCTTCTCTGTTCAATTCTGTATCAGCAAGTTTTCAACACTGCTATCCATTTCTAAAAATGCACATACCTTCTCTGTTCAATTCTGTATCAGCAAGTTTTCAACACTGCTATCCATTTCTAAAAATGCATATGCCTTCTCTGTTCAATTATGTATCAGCAAGTTTTCAACACTGCTATCCATTTCTAAAAATGCACATACCTTCTCTGTTCAATTATGTATCAGCAAGTTTTCAACACTGCTATCCATTTCTAAAAATGCATATGCCTTCTCTGTTCAATTCTGTATCAGCAAGTTTTTATTTGAAACAATTAGTTTCAATACTTTGGATGTTATGATCATATTTATATGACATTGAGATTTCACAACTGAAAATCGTGAAAACAACTGATCGAAACAGATGATCAGTTTGAAATATTTTGTCAGTCTTTATCCTAACCTAAATTATCGGCAATAGGTTTAGCACATGTATTATTAATCCTAATATCAAGACCACTGTCACTATCTGGCTGAGATTCGTCAACGACAGAGTAGAATGTACAGTTCTATACTTTTCCTTAATCATTTGCTGTAGGAAAAATCACGTAAAAATCGTATCACATCTAAAAAAAAATTAACAGTTCAGAAGTGACGCAAAAGCCATGCCGAACTTCAAAAACGAAAGGCCTTTGTGTTGCTAATTCTAGTTTTTCAAAATGTTTATACAAATTTGTCTTCCCAGCAAATGAAACAATATTAGATTGTTTCTATGATATGTAACTATAGTGGCTAAAAGTCTGAACTGGATGGATTCCAAAAGCCATTTTAAGTGGTCAATAGTCTGTAAAGAGTTAAACCAGATTCACGGATACAGCAAGTGAGAAGACTCGAATGGATGGAACATAATTGTTATATTATCACTGGAAAGTCATGTCTGTGAAAGGGTTATATTATCACTGGAAAGTCATGTCTGTGAAAGGGTTATATTATCATTGGAAAGTCATGTCTGTGAAAGGGTTATATTATCACTGGAAAGTCATGTCTGTGGAAGGGTTATATTATCACTGGAAAGTCATGTCTCTGTTAGAATTATATTATCACTGGAAAGTCATGTCTCTGTAAGAATTATATTATCACTTGAAAGTCATGTCTGTGGAAGCGTTATATTATCACTGGAAAGTCATGTCTGTAGAAGGGTTATATTATCACTGGAAAGTCATGTCTGTGAAAGGGTTATATTATCACTGGAAAGTCATGTCAATGGAAGGGTTATATTGTCACTGGAAAGTCGTGCTGTGGGAGGGTTAATTATTGAAAGTCATGTCTATGGAAGGGTTATATTATCACTGAAAAGTTATGTCTATGGAAGGGTTTATTATCACTTGAAAGTCATGTCTGTGAAAGGGTTATATTATCACTGGAAAGTCATGTCGATGGAAGGGTTATATTATCACTTGAAAGTCATGTCTGTGAAAGGGTTATATTATCACTGGAAAGTCATGTCTGTGAAAGGGTTGTATTATCACTGGAAAGTCATGTCTATGGAAGGGTTATATTATCACTGGAAAGTCATGTCTATGGAAGGGTTATATTATCACTGGAAAGTCATGTCTATGGAAGGGTTTATTATCACTGGAAAGTCATGTCTATGGAAAAGTTATATTATCACTGGAAAGTCATGTCTATGGAAGGGTTATATTATCACTGGAAAGTCATGTCTGTGAAAGGGTTATATTATCACTGGAAAGTCATGTCTGTGAAAGGGTTATATTATCACTGGAAAGTCATGTCTGTGAAAGGGTTATATTATCACTGGAAAGTCATGTCTATGGAAGGGTTATATTATCACTTGAAAGTCATGTCTATGGAAGGGTTATATTATCACTGGAAAGTCATGTCTATGGAAGGGTTATATTATCACTTGAAAGTCATGTCTATGGAAGGGTTATATTATCACTGGAAAGTCATGTCTATGGAAGGGTTATATTATCACTGGAAAGTCATGTCTGTGGGAGGGTTAATTATTGAAAGTCATGTCTATGGAAGGGTTATATTATCACTGGAAAGTCGCGTCTGTGGGAGGGTTAATTATCACTTGAAAGTCATGTCAATGGAAGGGTTATATTATCATTTGAAAGTCACGTCCATGGAAAGGTATTATATTATCACTTGAAAGTCATGTCTATGGAAGGATTATTATCACCTGAAAGTCATGTCTATGGAAGGATTATTATCACTTGAAAGTCATGTCTGTGGAAGGGATATTATCACTGGAAAGTCATGTCTCTGTAAGAATTATATTATCACTGGAAAGTCATGTCTTTAGAAGGTAAGGTAAGGTACTCACAGTTCTAACCCCATAGCAAATAGAATCCCTGTTTGGGTTTCAGGGTCCCATTGTAGGAAAAACAAGAATAGACCCACTGCCTCCACAACAAACATCTCGTAAAAGCTGACTAATTTGGGGGCTTCCTTCAAAGTCAGAGTGCAGCAGTCTGCATACAAATAAGCAAGATCTGTAAAACAGATGAACATGCAAAACTCAGGTCCTGGAACAAGGCTGAAGTCCCGAAATGGGGTCAACAACCAGGTCGTTCCGCTGGGGTTTACAGCCGGTGAATGTGAACAACAACATAGCAAAAAGGTCACTTCATACTTGTTCCGTTCCTGTGCCAACAAAAACAGCACAGCATGTTTACCACACTCTTGGGAAAAACATGGACACAGACTGCAGTCTTAGCATAGCCAGTAGTGCACACACAGACATCACAAGCATAAAACAGCTCTAAGATGTGCCAACACCAACAGTCTGCCACTTGAAATTACAACAAATCAGTAGTTGCACACGCAGTTAATCGCATAAGGTACCACCAGTGTGTCTGGAAGCTAGACAGAGCCCTAGTAATGCAGAGGGTAGCCAGCATACATATCTGCCCTGTCGTCTTGGGTTTGAATTCACATCAAGCGGGATATCCTTTTACATTTGAACTTTGCACCCATCTTTCTCCCATTTCAGACCCAGGCTACATAACAACACCAATCTGTATGACACAGTCTGCTGTAATTCTGCTGAGGGAGCAAGACAAAATCAATCGCAAGTAAGTATTCCATTTCTTCTTCTTCTCAATGTTGACTGGCTGTACACTCTGGTAGAAAGTTCTGGTTGCTCATTCTCTTCTGACTTTGGTCATGTTTGAGAACTAGCAGATTTGGCCTACTTGAATGCAGACTGTTGGCTCCTCACCTTTCAGACAGATGGACTCCATCTTCACAGGAAATATCCCTAATTAGTCACTTTGTATGACATGCTTTTTTAGAGCGCTGTGGGCCTATTCTGTGTTTCCCCCCTCCCCCCATGGAGTCCCAGAACCCACTTGGGGAATTCAGTTTCTGCTGGACGTATAGCTGTTTATATGTCTCTGCACAGATCTCATCCTTGGTGTTCTGGGTCAGCTCTATCAATATTTCTCCATGTCGGCCATCATAGACAACCCTTTCTCTTCTTCATGTTCACCAGCTGTAAACTCTGACAGACATTTCTGGTTGTTCTGTCCATTTCTGCACTTTAGTGATGTTTCAGAATATGAGTTTGCATGCACATCCATTTCATAGATCTAGCTCAATTGTATGCAGACTGTTGGTTTCTCACCTCTCAGGCAGATGCACTTCGCAATCGAAGGAAATGTCCGTAATTAGTCGCGTGTTACGACATGCTTGTTAGGGAGGCAGTAGGTCTACTCTTTGTTTCCCGAATTTGTGACCCTCCGGAATTCACATGGGGAAATCTTAAACTATTCAAAGTAACTTCTGTTGGTTTGCCTCTTTTACCAGTGTATGTCTGTACAGTGCCTGTCTTTCTTTACCTTTTTATTCACTGGAATCTACCCACTGTCTGCTTAAATTCTGCACTGGTAATACCGTATTTCCCCTGACCTCCTAAACTTGTGAAAACAGCCAATAATAGCTTTAACTGTGCGTCTCGTAAACACATCATTATAGACAAGTCAGAAAAGCGACATTTATGGGGAATTGACCCTAACCGGAAGTTTTTTTTTTGGTTTTGTGGCTTCTCAAGGCAGCAGGGTTAAACAACAGTGGCTCGTTGAGCATTTAATGAATGCCAGACTCAGGGCTTTGTCTCTAGCGGTATAGCACCCCTTTTTTAGGCATAATTTTTTTCATAATTGCTATAACAGACACTTTGTGGCGAGTACCGGCACACTTTTTTAAAACACTTATGGTGAGTACTGGCACTTTTTTTAAAAACACAGTGAGGTGAGTATTAGCACCTTTTTCTTTTTAAAAACACATGTGGTGAGTACCTACACCTTTTACAAAATACTTTGTGGTGAGTACTGGTACCTTTTTTAAACACTTGCCGTGAGTACCGGCACATTTTTTTCAACAACACCTGGTGGTGAGTACTGACTACTTTTCCCCCAGAAAAAAAGACCTGAAGACCAATGACCAGCACTTGGTTATGGTCAGCTGGCCACCTTTTATGTAAATGATGACGTAACTGATTGACTGACCCACTGTTTGCATTTGACTACTTCAGGGGAGGTGTACTGACCCCAGGAGCTGCATTCTGGGACACAAACCTGATCCAGCGGTTGGAGAAACATCAGATCAAGTTTATCACAGTGTCTAACGACAGCAGTGATGAACACAAGGATTAGAATCTCAGGCTGGGTCACATCGTATCTAGTGTTCATAGTTCTGGTCTTTCCAACAAGTGCCATATTGGGGATATACAATGTTTAGATAAGCGTGCTTTCTAACTAGGGTTTCCTAGAACTGGATGTGCTGTGTCGAAAGGTGTTGATACAGTACCAGAAATGTCATGTTTTCTCTAAGGTTATGTATGTTTACATGCTTATGTATGTATATACCTTTGTTATTATTTTTTAGCTGCCAAATGATCAACGTGTATCACTGTCAACATGTGAACTCAATTTTATTTTGTTGTATTTTTACAACACCATTGCTTATACACTGACTTGTTATATTTTTCAAATAAGTATGCTTTTTTTTCAATCTAGTTCATATTTTTTGCCACATTGCTTATAGTAACCCAACTTCTGGTGCAATTCAAAGGTTTAATTGAGGTCAACAATTTCCCATGTTTTTCAGTCAACAAATCAACAATTTCCCATGTTTTTCAGTCAACAAATCAACGATTTCACATGTTTTTCAGTCAACAAATCAACAATTTCCCATGTTTTTCAGTCAACAAATCAACAATTTCCCATGTTTTTCAGTCAACAAATCAACAATTTCCCATGTTTTTCAGTCAACAAATCTGTCGTATATACATTTTTCTCGGTGTGGATTCTGGGACCCACTGTGCCATAACAAGTATGTTGTAAAGGGTGACTGAAATTTTATGTGCAGATATTGCAGCCTAGCTGTAAACCACAAGGTGCCCTTTCAAGGGTGAATGCAGAAGTGATTTTGAAACAACAGTTAACGAAGGCATGGTTCCTGAGGGAAAGAGGCAGAAGTCAATCACCACGATAGTGTATTCAGGACATTAAAGATACCCTGGGCTTTAAATATTTGGTGTATGACCTGCCACCTGGCGCTGTGTATTTTTGTTTACTACTTCTTCTTCAGCATTCTGAGCTCTTGAGGTTCATTGCTGCAGATATCACCCGGCTCTATTCATCTCTCTGGTTGGCCTTCTCTTTCCAGTTGGTAACACTAAGTGTTTGCGGGTCTGTCTGGATATTATCTCTCCATCATCTTCTTGGTCTGCCTCGTGGTCTACGACCATTCATCTCCCTGGTGTATACAGTTTTTACTTCTCTGTCATCTGACATTCTTTCAATATGCCCCAACCATTTCAGTCTATTAGCTCTCATGATGCCAGTGAATAGTAGTGACTTGTTTACTACAGAAAGATTAATTAATGAGTGAGGGACCTTTAACCCCACCAGGACCTCACAACGAGCGATAAACACCTTGTTACACAAAGTGCCACCATTCGGATGAGAATCTCCTGGCTCAAGTTCCAGAAACCCCATTCAACTGTTAGGTTATATTAGGGCCTTTAACAACAGCCACTGTGGGCCTCTATAGATAAAAAATTGTGTCCCTTTTTGGGATGATTAAAAAAAAATTAATACAGTGAAGACTGCTTAGGGTGATCTTGGATGTGGCAAATTTATCTTGTGAAGAACAGTTTGTTTATCCCCGGCAATGTTTCCTGCTCAAACTCTTTTATCTGGATAAGAGGAACTGATAAGAAGAACCAATCCTTGGGTGCCCCATGAGTTCTCCTTATCAGATCTGCACTGTGTCCTGGTAAAACCTATTGAGGTATACAGTTTCTGGTCTTAGGTTTTAACTTGTATTTTCAGCATCTGTGATTTTAATAGCATACTTCCTCATAGCATGCTTCCTTCATGTGTGGGTTATGTGGCTCTATTTTTAGGGGGTGGGGGGGATAATGGACCCCTGCAGACAATGAAGCCAAGCTGTAAACCACAACATAATGTGCCTAATACTCTTTTTAACCTTATCGCACTGGTAACCTAGAAACAACAATGCCAGTGACCTGTAATCAGAGAATTTCTGGAAAAAAACCAATTTAGACAGGTAACCCTCAAGAAATCTTCCACAAAGAATATGGGAAGACATTAGTAAAGACGAATGCAGCAGAGAATTACCTAGGTTACATCTCTGCAAGTGACTCACAGTGACTAATTTTGTGGACTCCGTGACCCGGTCACAGGTTAACACTGACCCATGGGAAAATTACCTCATAATTTCTATTAATACAGCCAGTTTTTCCCCCCACAAAAAAAACCCCTCTAAACGCTATTTCAAATTAATTGTGCCATTCCTGGTACTTCTAAACGTGTGAGCAGGTACAAGCAATAACAATGCAGTTAGCTAGGCGTCTTGTGATCATGCCACTATAGCCAGGTCTGTAAAGTGACGTGTGAGGGATTGGACCCAAGCGGGGTCTGTAAAGTGACGTGTGAGGAATTGGACCCAAGCGGGGTCTGTAAGGTGACGTGTGAGGAATTGGACCCAAGCGGAAGTTTCAGCTTTGCCGTTTGTTCTGGTGATATGGTTGAGGTCAGTACACTTGAAAAAAAGATATGTTGTTAGCACTACAACAAAATCACCCAGGTGCTAAATTCAAGTTTCAAGAAAATTTTCTTTGAATTTTGAATCGCAAATGAAAATTGTGTGGCTGCGTGAAAGGTAACTCTTCATTTTGACCTATTTGGAGTAGGAATTTACTTGTGCCTTTAGCATATTTTAAACTGACAAATAACAAACCTGAAAATGCATGTGGGTAAAAATTGCCCAAATTTCCCTTAAGTGACTTTGGTGTCGTGCCAGTGATATAATCTACATTATTCATATATATGTTCCGATTCATACACATTTTTTTCTATTCCACATTGTATTAGTTCTTGATCTGTGCTATTTACACTTTTGATTTATTTCCTCATTTTTTAACTGCTGTGTTAATATTAACTTTCTTTTACACTTGAAAGATAAAATGTCCATTCTAGATAATGTTTAGTGCATGTTTTTTTTTTTTTTTAATGTTTACATTTTATTTAAAGTTATTGAGTTACTGGAGGAATGCACACATTTGTTTGTTTGTGCTTGGAGTGCCTTAAAACATTTGCAAATTAAATAAAGGGTTTAATTTACTTCAATTTTCATTTATGTTTTTTAACTGTGGGTCTGTGCCTTTAACTCTGACCTAATTAGAGTAGATAGACTGTCGCTGTTTGTATGTGTGTGTGTGTAATAAACAGAAAAACAGGCTATACACCGAATAACGGGCACAAAAGATGGTGGCCGCAAAAACATCCTAACAGAGCCTCAGTCACGTGTCAATTGCGCACTTCTTGCGACTTAATTTGCAGTTTTCCGGCGACTACCGCCACGTGTCCTCCAAGCCGCTCATGCAGCGTGGATTGGGGCTAAACTAGATGGCTAGGACTCACGAGTAGCAGCTTCCGCATCTTCTGCAGCTTTGCTCGTGAGTCCTAGCCATCTAGTTTAGCCCCAATCGCAAATTAAGTCGCAGAAAGTTCGCAATTGACACGTGACTGAGGCCCTGTTTTTGGCCGCCATCTTTTGTGCCCGTTATTCGGAGGATAGCCAAAAAATAGGTCCTATATGGGAGCGGATAAATTCTTTATAAAAGATATAACACCCTTATAAAAACTAACCTGGAGGGAACAGTTGAAAGCAGAATAGCAAGAGGCCGACAGCAATATAAGTGCAAGAATCATATTAACTTTTGAGTCCCAAGGGACGCATCATACGTTCATATATTCCTACCTAGAAGCCCAGTGAGCGCAAGATGCGCCAATTTTACATCTCTTTTGACTACCCATTGGGCCTGTGATGCTAAACCCCCTGGGACTCAAAGAGTTAAGAGGCAAAAAGAACACCAGTCTGAGAGACTTGTTTATTCATGCCAAAAGACAGAGAGTATTGAGAGGGATCAGCCGCAGTCGACCTTCTTTGTAGAGACTGTACCTGATTTATATATACATATATAACTGTGTATGTGTGTGGAAAAGGAGGGGGGGGGGCCCAAGAAGCGGCCGGCTAAACGGTTAAGAACCCTGTGTTCTCATGCAGGATACCAATGTTCGAATTCTCGAAGGTTGGTTATTTTTCTATTTGGTCAGGAGCAACAGCAGGCAGGCTCAAACACTCCCTTGCCTTTAGCATTCTTCTTCTTCTTGTCTTCCACCTTGTACCTCATCGAAGTGCCTTTACTATACAAGTGATAAATACAGGCAGTGCTGGGAGTTTTGTGTGTGTAGCTTCTGTTCATCCTAGCTTAATAGTAAGCTTCATCATCCCCCCTCCCTCCTCGACAATTCCCAAAAATGTATCTGGCACCCATCTGATTGTGGCTAGGCCAACCCTACGCAGTACTGACAACAGCCATGATATCTGCCGCGGGCCACGTGCTAGGGCTCTACGAGCCAAATCTGGCCCACAGTTAAATAACCCTGATTTACTCAGTGGGTCTATCTTCCCCCACTTGGGGCATCAATAATCCATACAGGATTCAAAAGACACTATTTCCCAAACAAACATGTCCCCTAACCATTTTATATATATAATTCAGTTTTCTTTTAAAATATCTGACATACATAAATGATTTAAAAAACCGAAAATGTAAACATCCTCCCATCCACACATTTTTGTTAAAAAAACCATGTATAAAGTAAAAATCAAAATCAGTGTAATATAAGCAACTTGTATTTTCCAATTCAACACAAAAGTTTTGACATACTGTTATAGTTCTTGAGAATCAGGAGAAAACATAGACCAGGGCTATTCAACTAAGTTTACTGAGGGGCCAAAATTGGTAAAATAAGGATCGTCACGGGCCAGAGGGCTAAACCTAGTTCTCCGCGGGCCAAATTTGGCCTGTGGGCCGCCAGTTGAATAACCCTGACTTAGAGGAATGTTTTGTACTAATTGCACGGCCAGTACAGAAGTCACACAGTGTTGTGCCAAACATTTCTTCAAGACTTTTGAAAAGGAAATCTCTCACGGTCTATTGCATAATTTAGCAGGAAATGTTTACAGTTTGAGTTCTGGGGTCCTTTATGGGGGACAAAAAAAACAGAAAAGACCCACCGCCTCCCTAATAAGTAGGTCTTTAGAGTCTACTATTTATGGGCTTCCTTCAGAGTGGAAGAGGGGAGGAACCGACAGTCTGCATACAGATAAGCTAGATCTGTAAAACAGATGTGCATGCAACAGTGAAGTCCTGGAACAAGACTACAATCCAGAAGTGGATGAACAACCAGAACTTTCAGCACTGCTAAAGTTTACAGTCGGTAACTGCGAAGAAGAAGGAGACTTCAAGTTATTGTCAGGACAAAACATCCATTTAATATCCCTTCTTGTTATTAACCATTCACTGCCCCTTGACACAGAACCTACAGCCATTTACTGCCCCTTGACACAGAACCTATAGCCATTCAATGCCCCTTGACACAGAACCTGCAGCCACTCACTGCCCCTTGACACAGAACCTACAACCATTCAATGCCCCTTGACACAGAACCTACAGCCACTCACTGCCCCTTGACACAGAACCTACAGCCATTCACTACCCCTTGACACAGAACCTACAGCCATTCAATGCCCCTTGACACAGAACCTACAGCCATTCACTGCCCCTTGACACAGAACCTACAGCCATTCAATGCCCCTTGACACAGAACCTACAGCCATTCACTGCCCCTTGACACAGAACCTGCAGCCATTCACTGCCCCTTGACACAGAACCTACAGCCACTCACTGCCCCTTGACACAGAACCTACAGCCATTCAATGTCCCTTGACACAGAACCTACAGCCATTCACTGCCTCTTGACACAGAACCTGCAGCCATTCACTACCCCTTGACACAGAACCTACAGCCATTCACTGCCTCTTGACACAGAACCTGCAGCCATTCAATGCCTCTTGACACAGAACCTACAGCCATTCACTACCTCTTGACACAGAACCTGCAGCCATTCACTACCTCTTGACACAGAACCTACAGCCATTCACTGCCTCTTGACACAGAACCTACAGCCATTCACTGCCCTTTGACACAGAACCTACAGCCATTCACTGCCTCTTGACACAGAACCTACAGCCATTCAATGCCCCTTGACACAGAACCTGCAACCATTCAATGCCCCTTGACACAGGACCTACAGCCATTCACTGCCCCTTGACACTGCCCTGACTGCTCTCCGGACTTGATTCCAATGAGACAGGCTTATGGAGCTGTTAGAATAAAAACAAATATTTTTTGTGAAATGCATCACTGGTTCATGGTCTTCACAAAGTGAGCAAACAACACACACAGAAATGAAAAGCCAACAAACAGCCTGGCAAAGACATAACTATGATGAGGCAAACAGGAAGAATTAAAAAAAAATATATATATATATATAGAGAGAGAAACGGAACGAAATGAGAGATCCCAGTGTAGATTCCTAGGCCCTTAGAAAGAAATGATACCGCTACTGCTCTCATGATAAGCATATCGTAAAAAACTGACTTTTTCTTCTTCCCCTTTACCAGCTGTAAACTCTGTAGAAAAGTTCTGGTTGTTTATCCACTCGTGGACTTTAGTCTTGCTCCAGAACTTGTGTATTGTGTGACTACAGATTTTAAAGATTTGGTTTTTTTTTACAGATTAGTTTTACAGATCTGGATTATTTGTAAGCAGACTGCTGGTTCCTCACCTCTTAGGCAGATTCATTCCTTCAAAGGATACATGCTTAATTAGCCCACTTTCATGACTTGCTTTTTAGGGGGCAGTGTTTTATTAATTTTTGTGTGTCCCCAAAATGGGACTACTCAACTATCACAGCCAAGCTGTAACAAACCACTCAACTATCACAGCCAAGCTGTAACATAACACAAACCACTCAACTATCCCAGCCAAGCTGTAACATAACACAAACCACTCAACTATCACAGCCAAGCTGTAACATAACACAAACCACTCAACTATCCCAGCCAAGCTGTAACATAACACAAACCACTCAACTATCACAGCCAAGTTGTAACATAACACAAACCACTCAACTATCACAGCCAAGTTGTAACATAACACAAAACACTCAACTATCCCAGCCAAGCTGTAACATAACACAAACCACTCAACTATCACAGCCAAGCTGTAACATAACACAAACCACTCAACTATCACAGCCAAGCTGTAACATAACACAAACCACTCAACTATCCCAGCCAAGCTGTAACATAACACAAACCACTCAACTATCACAGCCAAGTTGTAACATAACACAAAACACTCAACTATCCCAGCCAAGCTGTAACATAACACAAACCACTCAACTATCACAGCCAAGCTGTAACATAACAAAAACCACTCAACTATCACAGCCAAGCTGTAACATAACACAAACCACTCAACTATCCCAGCCAAGCTGTAACATAACACAAACCACTCAACTATCACAGCCAAGCTGTAACATAACACAAACCACTCAACTATCACAGCCAAACTGTAACATAACACAATGTGCCAATTGCCCTTTTAAAGACAAATAAAGAAGAAGGGAAAAGATAGAGAAAAGGTTACAAACAAAGAGACAAAGAAAAGAAAGAAGAAATAAAGAGTGAATAACCGAAAAGGGAAAGGGAGAGAGAAAAGACAAAAAAAAAAAAAAAAAAGAGGGGTGGGATAGAAATAGAAAATAATTTAGAGAAATCAAGAGACAGAGAGATGTTGCAAATAAACAAACATATCTCAGAAAGAAAGACTGGAATAAGTTCAACTCAACAACAAACAATCAAAGCTAAGAATATTTACAAACACTTACAGCAGAGGATATATCCACCCACTGCAAAGCTTTTTGTATCAAATCATCTGGTGTGGTCTGCTTGTCGAGGTTCCAGTAGGTAAAGTTGTTAAACTTGTGTGTTGCAGTCAGGGTTCGATCCTCATCCTCTGTGGATCTTTTATGTGGCTCTCTCAGCACCAGGCCTAGACAAGGAGAGGTACGTACAACACATAAATAGAGAGAATCAGATAACGGACGTACTTGATTGGGGGGGGGGGGGGGGGGGGGGGGGGCACCTTTTTTTTTCTTCCATGGCTGTGAACTGTGGTGGAAAGTTCTGGCTGTTCATCCACTTCTGGACTTTAGTCTTGTTCCAGAACTTGAGTTGTGCATGCATATCTGTTTTACAGATCTGATTTATTTGTATGCAGACTGTTGGTTACTCACCTCTCAGGCATATGCACACTGACTTTAAAGGAAACACAATTAGCCAGCTTTAGTGACATGTTTGTTAGGGGGGCAGTGTTTCTATCCCACCCGCCCGTAACTTACCTTACCGGGGGGGGGGGGGGGGGGGGAATTAGGGGACGCAAGAATTATGTCTGAAAAAATTCATTACCATCATGTGCCATGCCGGTAATCACAGGCTGTCATGTTTCGCCATCTCACACGATCACCAGAATCATGGATCAGGCCAATGTTTTTGTCTAACCCCCATCCACCTTGTGAAGCCATGCAGGTATTTATTTCTTTGCCTTCCTCTTGCTCTCTTTCCATTAATCCTGCCAGTTGTTACCAAGTTCTTGACTCCACTCCTTTTCACGGCATGTTCAGAAAAACACTGACTGCCTATGTCTAATTGTTCTAATTGTTCTAATAAGTTTACAACTTGCACAGGGAAAAGATAAAATAATAAATATAGCTAAACATCTTCTTCAGTCTGCAATTATAAGAGTGTTTGGCACAAATGTGTTGTGGTCTACAGATAGGATGCAATATATGCGCCTTTTGAGCCAACACATCTCTGATTTCTGCAAACTTTAAATCAGTTGCCTTTTTGGCCATGCTTGTTAAGGGCAAGTGGATCTATTTTTTATTTAACTTCTCCCAAAATGAGGCCCGATTACTCAGACGGGGTATAACATAATCTTCTTAGGTTTAACTTCATTTTAAGAAACAGGGTATAAACTTTTTCAAGTAACAATACAAACAAAGATGAAACAGACAGATACAGTGCAGACCTGATAAGGAGAACTCTCTGGGGACCCAAGAAATGGTTATTCTTATCAGAAATTCCTCTTATCCAGATAAGTTTTCAAGCAAGAAAAATTGCAGGGGAATGAACAAACTGTTCTTCACAACAGAAATGTGCCATATCCGAGATTTTCATAAGCAATCTGCACTGTGTTAAACAAAGGATACAAAAAGAAAGAACAACTTCTGTACCATTAAGTTGGTAAACCCTGCCAGGGGCTTCAGTGCATTTTCCTGCTTTATTATTTCTTTAGCCTAGAGAACACAGAAGTTGTATTCTTGTACAGATGCAGTTTAAACCAAAAACATTACTATTAATTAATGCAAGAAAAAAAGATTTGAACCTGTATATCCATCTGGCAGTGTAATTTCTGATCCATTTAGCGGCCTGCCTCGGAAAAATGCTGTCATGTCATCACCTGCGAACAAAATGTAAGCTTGATAATTCTACTGTCATTTCAGAGTAGGCCACTTTAAGAGTGAAGTATTATTGTGGGAAGATCAGGCTGGGGATTTTTAGCTAGAATGAAAGGAAAGCTTGTGGCATAACAAAATAAAGTTTTTTTTAAATCTACATCTTCCAGTATGAGGATGGAGGTGGAGGCAATCACTGCAGCTCTGATTTAGATAGCAGAAAACAAAGTTAGCAGGGAAATTATTGCGTGTGATTTTCAGTCGGCAACGCGGAAGGTTGAAAATGGACTAATGTGGCATAAGTGGATACCATTTATCAGTACACCAACATTGCAGGAAATCACGGGGATATATGTCCGGGATACGCAGGAGTAGGAGGGAATAAAAGAGCAGATTTTCTGGCTACAAAAGCGACAGCTACGGGAACACTCGTACGGGACAAGGTAGATATTCTGAAGATCATATATGAACTAATGTTGACAGAAGAAATGAGATTCGATGAAGTAGCATGTGTACGAATGTGTGAACGAGGAATTAAAAGGGGATCCGTCAAGAAAGGACGTATAAGAGGAAGCGAACGACGTGTGTAATCAGGGTGCTATGGGAACAGTTAGCACCTACATCTTAAGATATTTGCTGCAGGAGACAGAGCACCTACTGCTATGCCTGGTGTGCTAAGATGTCAATTTTTAAATCAGTAATCCCCCCGTGTGGGTTCCGGGGCCCCATTGTGGGGAAAACAAGAATAGACCCACTGCCTCCCCAAAAGCATGTCGTAAGAGTCAACTAATTGGGGAGCTTCCTTTGAAGTCGGAGTGCATCTGCCGGAGAGGCAAGGAACCAACAGTGTATTTAAGAGAATGAGATCTGTAAAACTGATGCACATGCAACACTCAGGTTCTGAAGCAGGACTGCAGTTCAGTAATGGACGAGCAACCAGAACTTTGCGCCAGAGTGTACAGCTGGTGAACGCGAAGAAGAAGAAGAAATCAGTAATCAATGGGAAGTAAAATACTGCTGTGCAGCAGATGTGAAATGCTGATGTATATTTGAAATATGGCTCATCTTCATCATCATCTACCAGGTCCTTTGCAGAACTTAGTCCCTTATCTCATGCAATTTCATATCGAAGGAGTCGCTTACATCCTGTGCCCATCTTCGTGTTGGTTGACCCCTGCCCTTCTTTCCTGGTACCATGCCTTCAGTTAGTTTTTTTCTTCCAATCCGCCATGGGGCTTGATATGGCCAAAATATTTCAACTTCTAAGATAAGATCATGTTTATTAGCCAATCTTCCTTGATGTTAAGATCTGTTAGAATGTTAGTATTTTCTTTCTTTTCCTCTCCATTCATGGTATTCTGAGAATCTTTCTACAGCATTTCAGCTCATAAGCCCCCTATTTTCTTTCTTAAAGACTGGGAGACAGTCCACGACTCACATCCATATGTAGCTACAAAATAAGGCTTTATGTGTGAAATGCTGACCTGAGTGCGGCATCTTTGACATGGAAAACTGCACTGAAGATTGCACAGGACAGGAAAGCATGGAAAGTCCTCTCTGAAGCCTCATGTGCCACTAGGCATAATGAGAACTGATGACTGATGATGATGTGAAATACTGTGTTGCAGATGTGAAATGCGGCTATTGGTATGAAATATTATAGTAAGCTGTCAGTGTCAAATACTGTTGTGTGAAATACAGTCCTATGAAATGCTTTTGGTATAAAATATGATACTGAGGTAGGTGTGAAATACTGCTGTCAAATCCAAAACACTGAGGTTAATATGACAGCCTGAGAAATTTTAATTTAATCCATATACGTAAAATTGGGACCAACATGAAACAAACAAAAACAAAAATGAGTGAAATACGTTGACATATAACTCTGCATAAAACATAGGGTGTTTACATATTGACATAACTGTCAGATTATATGGTGCAATGCTTAGTGCACATGGACACATGCTCCTCACACATGGTGGACATGGATAACTGCTCCTCATACAGGGTGCATTGCTTAATGCACTGGATAACTGCTCCTCATACATTGTGCATTGCTTAATGCACTGGATAACTGCTCCTCATACATTGTGCATTGCTTAATGCACTGGATAACTGCTCCTCATACATTGTGCATTGCTTGATGCACTGGATAACTGCTCCTCATAACAGGGTGCATTGGTTGATGCACTGGATAACTGCTCCTCATACATTGTGCATTAGTTGATGCATTGGAAAACTGCTCCTCATAACAGGGTGCATTGGTTGATGCACTGGATAACTGCTCCTCTTACATGGTGTATAGGTTGATGCACTGGATAACTGCTCCTCATACATTGTGCATTGGTTGATGCACTGGATAACTGCTCCTCATACATGGAGCATTGGTTGATGCACTGGATAACTGCTCCTCATACGTTGTGCATTGGTTGATGCACTGGATAACTGCTCCTCATACATTGTGCATTGGTAGATGCACTGGATAACTGCTTCTCATACAAGGTGCATTTGTTGATAACTGCTTCTCAACACAGTATGTTGCTTAGGGCTCTAACCCAGATGAAACAGGCAGATCACGACCAGACAAAAAAAAAAGTGGTTATGAATGATGCTTGGTAACAAACAATTGCAATCTAGACATTCACAGAGACAGTTATATAGTTTGTGTGACGACTGCTGAATGTTGAATTATGAATCGACATCACAGCACTCGGGACACTCCCATAAGGGCTCAGTCCGTATCTTCAGCAGCAAACAAAGAGTTCAGTTCCAATTATGCTACCAGTAACCGACCGTATATCCGTCTCATCCTTTCCCTGAGTGTTGAGCGTCGGCTAGACTGCTGGCTGTTGTTACTGGGCATCTGACAAGATACAGCAAAATATGCCAGGCAATAAATCGTAAAATAAATTGTTTAAATTCATTACACATAACAGCAGTATACTATTAAAACACTAATTTTGAAAAATTACTGTCACTCATAGATTATAGATTTCTAGTTCTAGTCAAAATAAAAATAAAAATTTAAAAATAAAACGTACCATCAGTGGCGCTTGGCGTGATGGTCTTACAAAAGAAATCTTCAACTTTCGCCTCGCCGTTAAAATCAATTTCACAAGGTACAAAATGACACGAATCTGTCACAGCTTTCTGCACAGATTTTGTATCAATGAAAATTGCCATGCTTGAGATGGGACTCCCAAAATTCTCCCGCTTCCAGTTCGGCAAGCAGTTTGCTTATTTACTTTTACAGCAGGGCTGACGAAGTTGGTATTTTCGTACAAGTTGGTACTATTTGACCCTTGCCGAGCAAAACTGTACTTTTTAAATTACGCAGCTGGTAATGAAATTTACCAGCCTTGTCAAAGAAGAACATTATGAACAAATAAACAAAGAAGTAAGAACAACCACCTAGTGCTGTGAGGACGGGGGGAGGGGGGGGAGAGTTACGCCAGAAAACTATTTTGGTTTATAATTTCAGAAGAAAATAGGGTTCTAATAACGAAGTCGGCACAGCTACACACTAATTGACCTTTTATTCATGCTATCTCATGCTGGTCTACGTAACAGGGGTGGCGTGTCTAGTCTTATCACCGGTTAACGACGCGATATCTAAAACTGGCTCTAAACCTAACCCCTTGTCCCACAGGCTCAGCCTATGTCCCACGATAGAGTGCAGCGCATGACTCGTAGAAGCAACGCCTTTTTTGTTTACGAGTGAAAACGCGATGTCGGCGGCAACTGCTCACACAACAACGATTAACATGCAACGCAGAAAGCTTTGCGAAGAAAACAATACACTGTAACACCCCTCTAAAGTAGACCTGCATGAGCACGCATGAATAAATGGTCAGCTAGTGTGTTGCTCTAGCCCGAATTCATTACTAGAACCGAAAACAAAAAGGAAATAACATAAAAATCGCTTTCCATTAGTTTAGAATGTAGGCTTAATCTTTTAGCATTTTTGCTTTCCTCTGTAACTGCAGAGGGCCTGAGTGGTTTCGATGTATGGCGTCCGCCTCAAGTGCTGGAGGTCCAGATTTCAGGCTCCGGTGAAGGCTAGGGGTTTTTCACGTGGACTTCTAGTAATTTTCCATGGGTAGTACGATCGTACGCCCAAGTGTATTGTTCCTTGGCAGTTGGAAATCGAAAAAGGTAGCCTAACAGCGTTGCCAGGCAAAATGTGGAGTTAAAAATCTACCCAAGTATTTCAGGATCCTGGCTGGTGCTACGGAGTTCGTGCACTGCGCTGAGATTCTTCGAATTCAGGCTTGAGTTAGAAGTAGAACGGTGGACTTATGGGTTACCTACCCTTCTGCCAGGATGTTGCTTCGTTGTATAAACAAAAATCTGCAACTGGATAGAGTTTTCTCTCTACTTATCAATATTAAGATTTTTTTTAAATCGCTCTTCTGTAAAGACTTCAGCAATAACCACTTTGATGAGATCAAAGTTATTGCTCCAGGATATTACCTGCACGAACTGGAGGCCACCACACCAGCTTGTAACAACCAGAGCGTTGAGGGTGGAGGGGGGGGGGGTGGTACAGCTATGATATAACGGACAAAGAACTTCACATTTGATTAAAGGCCAGTTATGTGTGTATATATATATGTGTGTGTGTGTGTGAACGTTTAAAAACGTTTTAAAAGGATTTTTGTAATTATTATTTTTTTATTATCTGGTATGTTTTGGTACTTTTAAACAACAAACAAAACTGGTACTATCTACGTAAAATCTTCGAAAGCTCTGCTCTACAATGTTCGATACTCGCATGACAATGATAATGTTCGACTATATGGAAATGATGAATGAATCAAGAATTGAATCACTTCACTAGGGACATTCCCAAACGCGCTACATCTCCTTCTTCAGTAACCATTAAAGATTTGACATGCTAGTAGCACCACTGCGTGGTAAATTGATACACGACAAGGCAGATGTGGTCAAGGCCCTTTAAGAACAAGCCACGGAATCAGTAGAGAAACAATACTATTATAGCTTAGAGAGAATAAGGCACTTGGGTGTAACGAGAGGGTCTGGCCGGCTCACTACACTCAGAGGTTAGGCAAGACGGACACAAAACCAGATTGTGACCGGTACCACCAGTATTGAAACTCTGCGCTGGCTGCTGAAGATGATAAAGGAGCATACATGGGAATGCCCCGAGTGCTGTGATGTCAATTCTTAGTTTATCAACCGCCTTCTCTAGATAAATAGAGAAGGCCGTGGTTCATCATTGGAATTTGGCTAGGCCACTTGACAGATTTCGATACCTAGATGATTTCTCCCATGAGTATCGATATTCGTCTGTGGCGCCAACATTTCTTCTTCTACAATCAATTGGCCTGCACATTGTATCAACAGTTGGTGCCCTTGGACTTTCCTATGATACAACAAACATGGCAATACTGATGTAGAGAGGAAACACCAGCGTTCTTGACAGCAGAAGCCGTGGGCGGTAAAGTTATCATTTAATTATAATACATGCTGTTGTAACTTGGAGGTCGTTGGTTTCTTGTTCAGCAGGATTAACATTTTTGTCTCATTCACTGTAGCGAGCGAGATGAAAGTAGTAAGAATTTTTTCGGCTAATAAAAGGCCGAAAAAATTCTTACTACTTTCATCTCGCAAGTTTTTTACTAAAATTTTAGTGATAGTTTAGTCAGACCATTGATTGACCCATAGCTTAAAGTACTTAAAATTAAAGCTATCTATGGTTTAGTATTTAGTGTAATGAATCAAGGGTCGTTTTCTTTCAATCTGGGTAGGATTGATTCTGATATTAAAAATGTATTATTACTTTTGATATGATATATAAATAATATTTTTTATTTATTAAAAACTAATTAGTCACGCCAGCAAAATCCGGCTCTGCTGGCAAATTTGGCCGGTAAGCTGGACTGCTTCGGCCGGCTTAGTGGGAGTTATGTCCCTTCGCCAAACTCAAAACAAGTCGCGGAAAAAGTCACGAATCAAATGTCATACTTACCTATCATCATCCGAGTGCGTGTAGGGCTGCGTAGGGTTGCGTCTAGGGTTACCTATCATCATACGGTTGCACGTAGGGCTGCGTAGGGTGTATATCATCATTATACGGTTGCGTGTAGGGATGCGTAGGGTGTCTATCATCATCATCATACGGTTGCGTGTTGGGTTGCGTAGGGTTTGGGTTAGCGGTAGGGTTAGGGGTGTGGGTTAGGGGTAGGGTTAGGGTTAAAGGTAGGGTTAGGGTTAGATGATGTGAAAATATTCACGTAGGAGGTGGAAATACTGGCCGACAATCTGATGCTTGTGGAAGTGGTGCCACTGGAAGTGTGCCAAATATGACGGTGGCGAATTGTCCGTGTCAGTAGCATCCACCGTCCGTCGCGTGCATGCGACTGTGCGCGATTGTAACCCTAAACCCTAACCCCTAAACGCTAACCCTAACCCCTAACCCTCATCTATCTTACGCAAACAACCAACCCTACACGCAATAAGCAGCCCTACACGCAACCGTAGGATGATGATAGACACCCTACGCAACCCTACACGCACCCGGATGATGATAGGTAAGTATGCCGTTTGATTCGTGACTTTTTCCGCGACTTGTTTTGAGTTTGGCCAAGGGACATAACTCCCACTAAGCCCCGCTAAGCCGGCCGAAGCAGTCCAGCTTACCGGCCAAATTTGCCAGTAGAGCCCAAAATCCTTCTGCATATCATTCTGAGGAAGATTGGGCTATCTTCCGAATAACGGGCACATATTATGGCGGCCGCAAAACACCCAAACAGAGCCTTAGTCACATGTCAGTTGCGCACTTCCGGTGACTAAATTTGCGAACTTTCGGCGACTACTGCCACCGCTGAGAGTATCCCCCACGCCGCGTGAGCGGTGTCCATTGGGGCTAGACTAGATGGCTGGGACTCACGAGCAGCAGCTTCTGCATCTCCTGCAGCTTTGCTCGTGAGTCCCAGCCATCTAGTTTAGCCCCGGCGTGGGGGATGCTCTCGGCAGTGGCGGTAGTGGCCGGAAGTTCGAAAATTAAGTTGCCGGAAGTTTGCAGTTTACATGTGACTGGTCCTGTTTTTGGCCCCCATAATATGTGCCCGTTATTCGGAGGATAGCTGAAGATTGAAAATAAATTTGAATATAAACTACAAGCGTTTAACAAGCGAGTTTTAGTTTGAGGGACAAGAGACCATTTTAATTTTTTTCAATATGAGAATCATCCTAGAGAAGTGTAGAGAATACAAGATAGATCTTATACTTGTTTCATAGACTTCAGCAAGGTATTTAACTGTGCAACATCATAAACTGTGGCATATAATGAGTGAATTCCAGAGAAATTTGACTCGTTTGTGTATTTCACTTGTGTTTGAAAAAGGCTGCCCGGCTGAAACGTTACTTTGTGTTGTTTTGTGCATGTTTTCCTCTTTCCCATTTTGTTGAGCTTTTTAGTCAAATTTCTCTGGAATTCATTGTATTAGCTTGACTGCAGCCACCCCCATAGTTTCACCATATAATGAGTGGCATGGTATTTCCAAAACATCTGATGCACTTAATAGAATCTCGGCTCTCCTTCGAACTTCGTCCAAATATTATGGCGGCCAAACAAATACCCTAACAGGGCCTCAAGTCGTGTGTAAAATGCGGAGTGCCTGTCGAGGAACAAACCACGGCAAAATTAGGATCGCCTCCGAATAACAGGCCAATATTATGAGGGTCTCAGTGATATGTTAATTGCGGATCTGTTTCTGCGACTATGCTGCACCGCCGACAGTATCCTTGCGTGCGGATTGGGGACTAAACTACATGACTGGGACTCACGAGCAAATAAATTGGAGGAAGTTGCAGGAGATGTGGTAGCTGCTGCTTGTGAGTCCCAGCCATCTAGTTTAGCCCCCAATCCACATAGCAGCGCAGGGGATATGCTGGGCGGTGAGTTTAATCGGAAGAACACTATGGCTAACCTGCACCTGTCTCAAACATTTCAACGGACAGTAATCCTAGTTTTGCTGCGATGTGTTCATTGGAGGAAGTCTGCATTTTACACAAGACTGAGGCCCTGTTGGGGTATTTGTTTGGCCGCCATAATATGGGGACGAAGTTCAGCCAAAATCTCTTTACCATGAGCAACAAGCAGTGGTCAGAGTAGCTGGTGAAACATCGTAATGGTTTGAAGTACTTAAAGGGGTGAG